ACACACAAAGTCGCATGGAAAAGTCTTTGTTGCGCCACTGGTAAACGCGCATTTCGCTCTATTGATGCTGGAAAGTGCAGTTGAGTGGTTTTTTCGCCACTGGAGAAGGCTTTTGGGGTTTTGTTCAGATTTTTTCGAATTTTTCATCAAGCGAGTACACTTTTACTTTGCCGAAAAATTATATGCAACGTAATTTTCAATATTTTTTTCCGGGCAAGCCAAGTGAGGTAGAAAAGCGATTGTTACGCATATGGATAGAACACTTTTGGTTCTATTAGTGGTGAAAAATGCAGTTCAGTGACACTTTGTTCAAAAATATTGCAAAATAATTTTCATCAATTTTGGAGATCAAAAAGTGCTTGATACGCCACTGGACAGAAGGCTTTTGGCGTTTTGTTCAGATTTTTTCGAATTTTTCATCAAGCGAGTACACTTTTACTTTGCCGAAAAATTACATGCAACGTAATTTTCCATATTTGCTTCCGGGCAAGCCAAGTGAGGTAGAAAAGCGATTGWTACGCATAYGGATAGAACACTTTTGGTTCTATTAGTGGTGAAAAATGCAKTTCAGTGCCACTTTGTTCAAAAATATCGCAAAATAATTTTCATCAATTTTGGAGATCAAAAAGTGCTTGATACGCCACTGGATAGAAGGCTTTTGGGGTTTTGTTCAGATTTTTTCGATTTTTTCATCAAGCGAGTACACTTTTACTTTGCCGAAAAATTATATGCAACGTAATTTTCCATATTTTTTTCCGAGCAAGCCAAGTGAGGTAGAAAAGCGATTGTTACGCATATGGATAGAACACTTTTGGTTCTATTAGTGGTGAAAAATGCAGTTCAGTGGCACTTTGTTCAAAAATATTGCAAAATAATTTTCATCAATTTTGGAGATCGAAAAGTGCTTATTACGCCACTGGATATTATATTACGCCACTGGACGCTTTTGGCGTTTTGTTCAGATTTTTGCGAATTTTTCATCAAGCGAGTGCACTTGTGCTTTCACGCAAAACAAA